TAGTTGTGTGGTTGTTAGTTTGTGCCCAGATGATTAACATGAGTCAATGATGAGAAAATGATTGTTGGGATTTTATTTATGGAAAATGCAAAGTATTGCTTTAAGTTAATGTTGGCTGACTAGATTTAGATAGAGGTTCGTTGAGTGGTTCAACTACCATTTTCACTTTTGGCATGCTTAAAAATATTTTATGTAGATGTGTGAAGTCTTGATAATGTTGATAGACTCTAGAACCTAATTAAGAAATGCTTGAGGCAAAATTTTTGGATTAGACATTGTTTGGAAATGATTTAGGCGTTTCTTTGGAATGTTTGAGCCTTTCTAGTCAACCATGTCGTAAATTGTCTTTAGTCGCCCCTTTCGAGCCTTTGATTGTTTTTTCTTTTTTTTTTCATTGTAACAACCAAAAAGTTTCCAACCCCTTAAACCCAAACACTTTATCCTTTAGGAGATCTCTAGACCTTATGTATAACTTAAAGAGCAACTGAATAAGTGATTGATCGAGAAATGCATAAGTTTGGGGGTTGTGAAAAGGCAGCAAAGAGAGGCAAGCAACACCAATTTTGTTATCATTGTTGTTATGAATTTTGAGTTCGAAGAAGAGAGAGAGATTGTATGTGCTTAATAAATAAAAGTTTTGCTTTACTTATGCATTTCAATTACAAAAATAAGAAATGCATAAGTTTGGGGGTTGTAAAGGGTTGATGCTTTCGTTGTGAGGTTGAGAAATAAAGGAAGTTGTCGTTGTAGCTTGTGTTTGCGTGAGGAAAACCAAGTTCTCTTTGGAGCCTACTACCCTAGCCTAATGTTACAAGTTTTTAAAGACCTTTTGATCCTTAGCAATGTCAAGTCTACATTAGTGGAGAGTAGTTAAAAAATTAGGATTATGGAGTTTACTACCATTTGATAAACTTCACCCATTTGCATAAAATAATCTAAGAAGTCAAAGAGTGGATTGAAGTGGGGATTACCTACTTAGAGGACCGATAGAGAAAGTTAGTCTATTCATAATATGACTTTTTGGAGTACTAAGCATTTTCTAGTAATAAAGTTCTAACAATTTTTGGGACTCGCATTACAATCCAATTTGCACATCTCTTTTATGTTTATTTTTTTTTATTTCTTTTTACTGTTTAATGTCTGCGTTATTTTCTTTTTGTTTGTATGTTGTTTATTTTGCTCAAGGATGAGCAAACCTTAAGTTTGGGGGTATTTGATAATCCTACGATTGTATTGCTTTCCATTTGATTTTATTAGGATTTTGAATACTTTGTTAGAGTAGATGCCCTAGAGTCAATCAATTATTGTGAAATTGACTCTTTGTAATAATGTTTATTCATCAATAAAAGGCATATTCTTCTATATCGTGTAAATTATAATTGTGTGTATTGATATATGTCCTTAAGATGGTAGAACTATGACGAGGGTATTAAGTGTTTCAAATCTTGATAGTGAGAACCCTATGATCACATATGGCGGTCATTCTAGAAATGTCTATAGTCCCAGTATTATTCTGACCAAGGACATAGATAATATGGTAAGACTATCATAGTGTTGAATGACTCTATCAAAAGACAATGATTGATCTCACTTGTCAAGGTTGTTTGTCGAAAATCTGGTGTAACGCATGGGTGTTTGCTATAGGCAAGTTCACTAAACAAACCCACCAAAAGATTCCATATGGATGATAACCCCAGACCCTAGAGTATATGGAATAAATCCTCTAACGAATGGTGGTGCATATGATCCTTAGACTTGAGATCACTGGAGCACCTTGTGCACCGATTAGTGTAGTTTGACACTAGCCCAACGTAGTTCTATTCGGAGCTATCAATACGGTAATGATTGGCTGTATCGAGGAGTGTATCAAGACTATGGTGGATCAACAAAGGATAAATCAGTCCCAGGTACGGGTTAAGTTATCTCATGGCGCAATTCAGTGAATGGCAATGACACTAAAACTGTAGCCACAGTGGGATTGAGTTGTTGTTCAATCCAATTTATTATTCCGATCATTGGTCTAGTAACTGAATATAAAGATATCGAGGATATCTAAGGTTGACACTATTATGTACCTCAGCCTCGATGAGATAACGTATGATGAAAGGATTTGATTACACAGTAATCATGTCCTTGATAGGTAGCTATTTCGCTAAATCAAAATCTATCAAGTGGTCATGATGCCTTGCTAAGGGTCAATCTTGGTCTATGTGTAGTGAGACGATTGATTGGTGTCAATCGAGATAATACTCACTACTGATATGATAGAAAGCCTACAGGTCACACACTTAGAAGACAATTTAATGATGATGACTTTTTGGAAGAGTATATTCATCTTTTAGATGAATGGGCATATTGGTAATTTTGCTGTGTAATTAAATTTACTGAGATTGTGGCCTATGTCCAATTTTATTATTGGAGTAATTTAGCAAAATTATAAATTTAATTATTAGAGTTGATATTAATATTTCTATTAATATTTAAACTAAATAATTAAGTTGGGTTAATATGTAATACTACCTAATGTTTGGGTTGATGCTAAACTTGAGGCGTGGAAGGGATATTTACTTTATTATTTAAGCAAAGAAAAAATTAGGTTTACCTAACCTAATTCATTTGAGCCCTAGAAAGCAATATCAAGAGAAGAATTTTTTTTATTCTTTCTCTTCTCTATTCACCATCTTCAAAAGTTTAGATTCTTTAAAGCCAAGAATTAAGTCTAGCAAAATTAATTCTTGGTCATTGTGGTATTGTTTTCGTATAGATGACGTAAGTTCGATTCTATTCTCGAATCGGTAACGAGATCACATTCAGAGACATTGGTGGAGCCTACAATCACAAGTATAATCAAATCCTTATATATATATAACCCTGATCTTGACCCTAATCTTAGCTTATTCAGAGTAATCCATGAGCAAAAAATTTTGTTTTTCCACTGCCATCGTTTGTCAATTACTTACATACTTCTCATTTGTTTTGGGATTGGATTGCTACTAAATTCAGTTTATTTTATTTCTCAGACCTAAATGTGCTTCTACAGTGAAACATAGCAAATTTAAGCTCTGACTCAAAGATCAGAATTCAAAAGATTGGAGAAATGCTGAGGATTGATCAGAAGCACCCTTGAAGCTTGATCTGATTAGAAGCTTAGACGATTGAAGATTTAGGAGAAAAAGCGAGCTAGAGGGCATTTCTATAAATATTCCAAAAAGACAAAACTTCCGGCAAAGCTTTTTCTTCACCATGGCAAGGAACCTCTTGGAATACTGGGCAAAGTGGACTTCGCCGCAGCGAAACTGGAAAAATGCTGAAAAATAAAACAACGCATTTTATCCAACCAGCAACTTTTCCTTGGGTTTCATGCGAGTATAAAGAAATACTTAGAGTTCTTGAAAAAGGGAGTCCGTTCTTTGGTGAGGTTTTGGAAGAAAAGAAGAAGATTGAAGATGGAAGCATCATTTAGAGAAGATTTCTTGTTTTCTTTCATTTGTTTTCATGATGAACTCTAAGATTATTACTTTGTTTTTGTTTATTTCCGTTTTTATTATGAACTAAATTGTTTTAGTTAGGGTATTGATGGATCCTTGTTTATAATGGCTTAATCTATGATATTCATGTTAATTTTGAGTTCTTTTGGTGTGATTAGTGTTTATCTCTATTTTAATTGTATTTGAATGTTGGGTTTTTATTCAAATGATATGTTGAACATGATGAGGCTAATAAGCGATTGATGTGTGGGCTTCTTGGGATAGATACATTAAGTTAAGCGAAAACTAGAGATAGATGAACACGACCTTTGCAATCTAGATAGAATTTCATGACACTTACCAGGCCTTGAACTATTAAGCTTCAATTTTTGGGCGCGAAAGCTTAATAGAAATAGGTGAGGTGGTATAACGCAAGAGGGAGTGCCAAACACTCTAGGGAGTTTAATTTTTAATCGTCACCTTAGAACTTGGATTAATAGGATTCATATGTTAGGTTGGAGTAACTTGGTGAAGTTATAAACCCTAACTTCTTTTCCTTGAGTGAATTTCATCACGTTTGCATTAATTTAGTTTTATTTACAATTGTAGTAGCTAACAAATGTTTGTTTTAGTTTAATTGTTTTGTCTCCTGCCAATCCAATTTTTATTTACTTCAATTAGTAGTACAATAGAGAACTTGGTAATTAGCACAATCTTTGCGCGACATACTCTTCTTATTATTTATTTCTTGTGCGACTAGTACGCATGCTAATATTGCTTGTGAACCAAAACACGCATCAAGAGCATCCCCCAACAGCCCCACAACTCCTCAATAGTGGACTACGGGAGTAGTCCCGATTACAACCCTCAACAGACACCCCAAACGCCTCATTTTCAAGAGAAGTTCCAGCCTTACTGGAAGCACATTTCGAGTCCTGAGAAACCACAACAATTCTGGTTTTACTCCTTATGGCCTCCAAAGCGGGACTATTCAAGAGAGGTTCAACACCACTCTTCAAACCTTCATCAACACCACCATCCCCTAAGGACACAAAATCCCCTTGAGGCAAACTCACCTCCTTTGTGTCCTCAACTCTCCACTTCCCCCCACACAGCCCACAATCTCAACAACATCACCCAACAACATGGGACCAGCTTCTTCACTAGTAGAATTTCGGCTCAGCAATGAACCCCCTGGCTTCCTAACACGCCGAAGGAGCTAGGTTTTAGCCCCTAGCCCCTCCATGGTATCTTTCCCTAGTTTCATAGAAACAAACGCAAAGAATCAAAATTAAGGAAAACTAAACCCACCCCGTCTCTAGAAGAAAAACCCAGATCCAATCAACCCTAAGGGCCATCGGCAACAACGGCGACACTCCGAGCAAGGACGGCATGGCAACGACAGAGAAACTTTCTCTTTCTATCTCACATTATGGGTTTCCACTTTTGTCTTGAGTTGAAATTAAAATGAAAATATTTCACGCTATGGGCATCAAATCTTCACACCATGAGAGAATTTTCTCGCCAGATTAATGACCGCTATATTGTTTTTTATTACTAGGAGCATTTGCGATTATACTCAACCCATATGAACAATCTACAGTTCAACAAACAAGAGTAATTCATTGTACAGACAATAAAATGAAACTTTAAATACAGCAAAGATCTTTTTCAAGGTTATGGTACCCGCTGCTAAATGTATCTTATCTATGTCTATGAATTATAACCCACTGTAAGTTTCAAATACAAACTAATTGAACAAATTTAGTATTATACTGCACCATTTCCACTCCTGGCTCCAAAAGCAAGCAGGAAAAGAGCACATTGTAATGAATCTTCGCAAGGTGTTGATTCTTCCCATTGAACAATTCTAAGTTGAAGAAACTTTTTTCTTCATTTGTCACACAAGAAACATTTGGATGGAGTAAAGGTAGCAGAGGCTCACTCAGTCTCCAGTAAAGAATCAAATCATCAATCTGTCAAAAGTTAAAGAGAGATGCTACTTATGAATATAGTATTGACATGGTAACCTTTTCTCTCCTAAATGTTCACTAGAGATTGGGATGTCAAAAACACAACAAAAATTTTGCTTTTGTAAATAACTCATGAAAAGATAATCCCCAATTCTGTTTTTTATTGCATCTAGAAATCAATGTACAGTTCAAAATCACATCAATATATGAGGTGGCAACATTTTTAACTAACCCAGAATTTCGAAAGCAACATCACCCAGAAATACTTTTCCGGTTCCACGACAAATAAGCTGTTTCACCATAAGCCCTGAAAACAAAAAGAATGCATTATACGAAATTGTAGAGCCCAAAACAGAGTGATAATAATTGTGCATGCATAATTTTTAATATTTGCCAGTTGTATTCACCGATGAATTAATGACAGAATTAGCTATGGAGGATGAGCTATTTGACAAAATGCAGAATAATTTATCCAAAGCTGTTAGCAATCCAACGAAGCAAAGGCAAATGTAGCCAGTGAAACTCTTGAACACAAATATATATAAGAGAGGTGCACGTTTTTATAGATAAAACATTCATTATGTAGATTAGTTTCATCAAGAGAACACAGTCAATTTGCAATGTCAATTCCCCATCAAATTTCTCAATGAATAATAGGCAGCCCCAGTGTATGACCAATAAATAAGCACTCCCACCTAAGACTACATATTGGGTTACATAGTCGCTGCGTAACAAAGGCACATTAAATACTAGACCTAGCACTTAGATAAATAGGCATTACATGAGTGAACACTTTTGCTCAAAAATTCAAGAAATCCAAAGTGGAAAAAGTAAAAACAATTCCAATGAATCACTCTAACTCCATCATGAGATCATTGTTTGATAAGTAATTCTAGTATGTATATGCAATTAGCACAGGGAGGAAAGAAAATAATAGCAGGTCGTATCAATACAGTCAAAGAACCAAAAAAAACAAAAATGGTAACGAAGGGCATTCCAGGATTACATTGTAAAATGCACAAGACAGTTCATTAGATGAAGTTATACTTTAGGGACTAGGTGCAGATAGAGGCTGATGAATATGCACAGAAATAATGCAGTTAGGTTGGGTATAATACCTGGGATTTTTCACATGAAGCAACATAAAGACAATGGAGATGATTATAGATGAGCAACCAATAAAGACATAGGCAAGACCAAGGAAGTCATTCTTCCCGCCCAACCAGCTCAACGTTGAAAGAACAAGCTTCTTTTTCCCTCCAAAACTGTAAGTGTTGTAGTTGTTCATTACGTGGACTACTAACAAATCACCTTCATCCAGATCCTCTTCAATTCTTCCATACAATTTTCTGAAGCTAGGGAGGGCAGCAGTTCGCATCCACACAATTAGATCCTCTTGGTCACTTAGCTAAAGCCAATGAGAGCAAAAAAAAAAAAAAAAACCATTTTTGAGAGATCAGGTTTTATATCAATAGATCAATGAAGAAATATAATTTATATCAACACAGGACAAAGCAGTTACTGCCTTTTCTGTATCTGTTACATATCATATACATAAAAGTCATAGCACAGAGGGTAAGGTGATGGATCAGTCTGCAAAGGAGAGCTATTTAATTGCAAACCCAGATTACAGACTTAATCTGGCATCAGTATAAGCCTCTGATCCCAAAATCTCAAGCAAGTAATTCAAAATCAATTTTCTGCAATACAACTACTCTGTCACGAACTTTGGACAATGATGAGAAATAATACTAATCTCAAGAAGGGCCATTTTGCCTGCTTTTTTGCATTGTGATCCGACCAATAATTTCACAACAGAATGAAGTGCATCTCTAAAAATAAATCCTCTGATTTTTATATTTATGCATGAATTTGATAATACGAACTAATATTTTTCTAATAATATACCAAATGAAGTCAGGATACAAGTTTACAAGGGTATCGATAAAACAGAAAAAATTACAGCAAATTTCTGTCTGAGTTTAATTACAGTTGGGCCACTTCCTATCAACTCAACATTTTGAGGTAAATGGTTACTTAGCATGTTATTAGTTAAAGCATATTTGACAAAAATTCCTCACTTTGGTTCCTGAAAAATAATCTCCTTTTAATCAGTAACAAGACATTGTTAGATGAGCCTGAGTTTGGATCCACATTTCTGCTGTGCATTAAAATCCATGCTATAAGTTAGCAAAAACTCAAGAATTTAAATATTATTTGTTGGGCAGTTTAATTTTTGGGATTAATAGTTATTCAACAAGCCTCAAAAGTCAACCAGTTATGGAATGTTATTGCAATGTTATACACAGTAAAACTTAACAGCAAAACTTACAGGAATACTTGGATCCAGACTTCCACCACCGGTGAAGGTCCCATTTTGAAAATTAAAGGGATAAACTTGCTTGCCAAATTTGTGATCACGGTCACTTTTCCATGCTATATTCTTACGGTTGACCATCAGTTCTGTTCTCTCACGAATAAACTTAAATGTATCATTGAAGAAACTCCATGCTATCAAACCACAAGGGACAATTGGGAGGCCATGGTTGGACTCTTCAGGTTGACAGGAAGTTGTGTCATTGTGCTTCAATCCATGTAAGAGCTGCCGATCACTTCTACTTTTTACATACCTGGCAAATATCTGGGAGTCAGTTTTGAATCAAAGCAAATGCAGAGACAGAAACCAACTACATTTGGTATTTGATTTCTGTGAATACATAGCAGGAAATGTCACAGAATCAACAAGAGAACAGAGTATTATCAAGGTTGATCAAACTCGAGAAAAAAGCCCATCAGTACATTAGAAACTGTGGTCAGCAAACCTTACCGTCGGTGATTCTGATAGTAGTTATCAAGTTGATAATAGATGTAAATTGGGGCTTTCATATACTTGTGAACCTACAAAGCAAGCAATGAATTCATATGAACACATGTGACCAGCAACAAAGTAAGAAATGAATAGGAACAAAAGGTCCCCAATTGAAACCATCCTTATTGCTTAGATCCAAACTATCGAAACCAGATTACTAATAATTGCATCAAGACAATTAATTAGAACAGTTGAGGTACACAGGTCAGTGAATTGCAGTTTTCTGAAATGTGAAAGCTTCACAGAAAATAAAAGAAAAATCTAATTACTCAGAGAAAAAGAAAAGAATAAGTGTCATATAAGTCTTTCCATAAAAAGTCTGGTTGAATGCTTGTGACTATTCATAATCAAAAAGGGGCTTCAAAGCATCTTAACAGCTTTCATATTAAAAATGAAGTCAAAGAGGAAAAACTAACCTTCAAAAACAGAGAACAGTTTTTGGGGATTGAGCTATTTTTAATATATGACAACTTATTGCTTTTGAATACCTCAGGTACACATTCAGTATCATATCGGTCCACAATTTCAATAACCTACCAATCAAACATGAAATAATTATTCACAGGCATGCTCCACAGAAAACAATAAACCACTGCATTGTAAAAATTGAAGTATACTTACACTGTGAGAAGCACGAAGAGTCACAAGCCCAATGGGAATGAAAATGAAGCCCATCAATAAAAATGCTGTAATAACCTGCAGACATGACATCAGCATCACCAAGTAAAGTAAATAATAACTGAAAACACATGAGAGGGAGAGAAGAGCAGATTCATATATGAATAACGGTTTTAAAACACTCACCCATGCTGGTGTCAATACAGGTTTACAAGCTGGGAGATTCTGCTGCGTAAACTGAAAGAAAGCTGCAAAATAACCCAAATAAGATATATGTATGCTAGCACTGGATAACTTGGATGAGCATGGCTTAAAAAAAAGGCACAATATCTACTAATTAATCATTCACTCAAAATAGGTTGAATTATTCATTTATTTAAGATGTAAGCTGCAACTTGTTAACAACTGCTTTACATATACCTAACTCTCTAATCTGTCAAAGTCCCAACAATTTTCTTTTACTTATCCACTGACTTTAATCTTTTCATTGAATTTCTACTTCACATGGTCCAGAACAAGACAAATGATTTTTTACTTGGTGATTTTTACAGAAAATCAATCCCAACATTTGCCCCTTGGATCCATATCCTTCCCACAGTGAGTCCATGACTACCTTCTTGGTACCTCTCGCCCTTCACTTTCTTTTTATTTATATATTTACTTATTTTATATAAAGAATTATTGTGGTAACTATTCCCTGTCCTGCCATTTGATATTTATAATAGTTAGAACAAGTGGGGTCAATCACAACCATATAGTTTTCAGAATTTCTATAATACAAATTCTTGATATATATATATATCACGGACAAGTAATAATATAAGCATATATAAAAGTACTTGATCTACTTATAGAACCATAACTTATACTAAAAGAATCAAGAATAAAAATGAATCACCCATTGGTTGCCCAGATTGTATAGGAATTGTTCTATCTTCTCCAGCACCAGCTGAACGACTCCCTCCCTCCACCTCCATTATTAATTACAATTCTAAGCTATGCAACTCCAAAAACTACCTAGGTCTTTTGATTTCGGATTATACTTCCACAAGAAAATCAGCAATCTGCACCCAGAAATGCAAACTTGAGCTTTTAAATTATCTTTAACCTGAGTTTGGTTTAGATACCTTCAGGAGAATTAAAAAACAATAATCTGAAACCAAATAGCCTTTCACTAACTAAATTCCTAAAATAAGTTTTCATACTCGACGGTCTCGATATAATAATAAATGATCACAGAAATTTCAATTGAGCTTTAAATTTTCTCAGCAACCAAACAAAGAAAAAAATCGTACCAAAGATTATCAAGTGGAGAACTTGTAGACAATAGTCCAAAGCAACTACAGAAACGATCGGAAGTATAATTGAATCATTAAAAAAACAGAAATAACAAACAAAACTGAAATCGATATGAAATTGGAATGTACATAATTTACCTCGAATGAGTAGAAATTTGAGAATTGAGGAGAAAGAAGTAATTTACACTCTTCGATTGCTTATGAAGAGAAAATTGGAACCTGAGCTTAATATTCTTGTCTTTCCATCCACGAACTCTGCTGTCTATATGGCTTTTGCTAACGGGAAAACCTGTTCCTATTCTTTACATAAACGCTGCCCGCATAAATGGAGCCAGGAGATCAAGGGCGTTAAGTTTGACTTTTGTAAAATTTCTTATGAATACGTTTAAACTATGGCCAAATGACATGTCCCAACCCTACATTAGGCGGATCCACACTTTTCATATGTTGGTTTTAGAAACTATCAACGTTTCACTTAATTTTGAATTTCAAATGTTAAATTTAACGATCAAAGGCCCTTTATGTCTTCTCTCCAACGTACAAAACTAGAGGTGGGAATTAAGCCCAGGCAAAGGGCCCAGCCCAAAACCCTAGTCCTAGAACCAGACCAGACGAGGCTCAAAACCCCCTCCCCAATTTTTTTAACCCCTTATAAAATATCCAAAACCTCTGTATTCAATATTATTTCACAATAAATACAGGCGTTACAATGTGATTTTACAAAAAAGGAAAAATAAAAAATTGGATTGTTGCCCATACCTAAATTTATAAATAACCCTTCATTCCCACCCATTTTTCTCACAACTCTCAACTATCAATCTCTTGTTTTCTCAACTCTAATTTTCGAACTCTCTTCAATTTCATCTATTATTCAATTTCGGGTGGAGGTGCTTTTTTTTTTTTTTTTTTTTTTTTGGCACTTCCCCCCATACCTAAACTATCAATAACCCCTCATTCCCACCTATTTTCCTCACAACTCTCAATCTCTCATTCTCTCTACTCCAATTTTCAAACTTTCTTCAATTTCATCTATTATTCAATTTAATATTTATATTTATTCATTATTCAATTTCTTTTATTTTTCAATTTCATCTATTATTCATAATATTATTTATATTAATCAATTTCATCCATTTTAGATATTTGTTATTTTATTATAATGGATTCTCCAAGTTATGGATTCGGAGAATCATCATCCCCAAATGAGTATTATGTTCCAGTTCCTCTATCTACCCAAGAAATGGAAGGGTTTGATCCATTTTCACCCTTTCCAGATGCAACAATTCTAAATCAAAAGGCAGCCGAGACTACGTCCAGCCAAACATAAGTGAGTTGCGACACTACAGCAAGACCGACGAAGAGGATTATGCCTGGGGTATGGCAATTTTTCACGAAATCAAAATGGGCAAAGCCAAATGGGTTGTGGGAAGAGACGCGCGGGATATACAATTTTTGTTCGACCACAATTGGCACTGAGAACAGGACTTCTATGATAAGGTAGCACCTGGAGAAGGAGCACCCCTAATTAATGTAACAAGGTTCAACTTCAACCAGAACTGGTAAATACAAACTCAACTTAATTTTAACTCACAACCTCAACTCTCTCAAACTGGCAATTCAATGCACAGATTGCATGAGATGAAGTAGCAAAATACATAGTTACTACAGACTCTCCAATTTCTTTATCTGAAAATGTATTTTTCGTTGATATAATTAAAAAGACTTTTTATCCACAATATAGGTCTGTTAGTAGAGGTACAACCAGAAGGGACATAGAAAGACTTTGTACTAAAATAAGTGATAAACTTAAAAAAGATTTTGAAAATTTTTCAAAATATTTTTTATTGCACTTACTTCTGACATGTGAGCTGCTAAATCGAAAACACATTTTTTTAGTGTCACAATACATTACCTAGATTATAGTTGGGCTCTACAGCAAAAATTGATAGGTTTTAAACAATTATATCTAAACATAGTGCCAACACTATTTATTTTACAGTTATTTAAATTTTGCAAGATTATTTATTAACTAAGAGAGTTGTGGCACTAACATTTGATAATGCAGCTGCTAACACCGCAGCAATTTCTTTGTTTCAAAAGAAATTTAATCCATTTGGTGAAGGCAAATTTTTTCACTAGTGATGTGCTTGCCACATCATCAATTTGATTGTTAAAGCAAATTTAAAAGCTATACATACGAGAATTGATAGGGTACGCGTAGCTATCAGATTCATTGTCAGTAGCAATACAAGATGGAATGAGTATGTCAAATATTGTCACCAAGAGGAGCTGCCGGTTCAATTGAAGAAGGTATGTTATGACATGCCTGTCCGTTGGCACTCAACGTACTTGATGTTGCAAAATGTATGCCAACCGCAAGACAAATTATAAATTTAGTCAACCGGAAGAACTATCTAAACGAAGTCATCAACGATTCTAATTGGACGGTTTGTAGTATTTTTCATTCATTTCTTAAAGTTTTTTATGATTCCACTAATACATTAAGTGGTATTTATTATCCTACTACTAATTTCACGTTAGATACTTTACTTCAAATTTACAAAACTTTTGCTAGATCTAGATATAATGCAGAGTTAAGCCAACTTGTTTCAGAAATGGAAGCAAAATACCAGAAATATTAGTTAGATATTTCATTCTTATATGGATTATGCCTTCTTATAGATCCTAGGTTTAGATTAAACGTATTTACTTGTATAGTTATTGAGATGTTAGAGTAGGTGCCCTAGAGCCAATCCATTTTGTAAATATTGACTCTTGTAAATAATGTTTATAATCAATAAAAGACATTTTTCTATATCATAACATCTGACTATATTCATATAAAAAAAATGATATATGTCCTTTGGACGGTAGAACCCTGACGAGAGTATCAAGTGTTTTAAATCTCGATAGTAAGAACCCTATGAGCACAAATGGTGGCCATTGTAGAAATATCCGTAGCCCCAGTATTATCTTTACTTATGGCACAAATAATACGATAAGACTATCATAGTATTAAACGACCATGTCAAAAGACAGTGACAGATCTCACTTGTTAAGGTTTACAACATTATTGACATATAGCTACAAAAATTAGCTACAAATAGGAAAACTATATCAAATACATATTTACAACTACAAAAGTCAATATTTATAGCTAATTGAAATACTTCGAAGCTAATATTCATCTCTTGCTTTAACTTATTAAAATCATGATAATAACTAATCATTTAGCTACAATGTATTAGCTATGGTAAAACATTGTAGCTAATTAATGTATTTAGCTATTAACATTTTATGTACATGACATATAGTATCATTATTAACTACGAGTTTAACTAAATAGCTATTATTTGTGAATTAGCTATAAAATATTGAAATTTGTAGCTAATTAAGGTATTTAACTATACAAATTTTATTTTCATGGTAGTAACAATATTATAGTATCATTACTAGCTACTAGTTTAAATATATAGCTAATATGTATATATTAGCTATAAATTATTCGAATTTGTAGCAAAATAATGAAATGTGAAAATTAATTTCCAACAATCCTTATAATATGTAGCTATAGATATTCTAATTTATCCCATGAGTAATTATTTTTATTTTATTACCTATAAATTAAATAGCTATAGTCACACATAGTGTTAATCACGCAACTAATGTCAATAGTAAATTATAACCTTAAACTAATAGCTAACTTAAAAGAACCCTTCTCAATTAATCAAGCTTAGTTTTAATACAATTTAAATATGTCGAGCAAAGTATTAGATTTTCTTCCACAATGAACCCTTCTACAATAGAACCTTTTGGTCGACTTTTATTATGAACATAATGCTTCAATTTTCTTAAGAACCTATACAAATGTTTCTTCAACTAATTAATAACTTATTATAACCAACATTAATTAAAAAAAAATAGATATATGAAATATTGAAAACAAAATATAGCTATCCGTTTGAGTGTCTGATGTTCAGCCCGCTCCATATACTCATTAGCTACACGTTCCACGTCAGTAATCAATAAGTTGGAGATCAATTTGCAAGTTCATTCTATGAACAAGAAATAAAGAATTCATTACGGAGCTTAGCAATGGTAGGATTTAAGTGGCTTTCATCTCCTTGTGATTTAATAAATTGTTTAATAAATCATTCTCAAGGTATCAATTGCAATTGATTCAAACCACTCATGATTTAATTCACAATATCTTTTCATATTGTTTATAATGAAAATATAAGTTTGCTTATAAAAATTGAACTTAGTGAATCATATGAGACTATGGTTAGCTTGTGTAACAACCCAGCTATGTAAAGATTATTTATCTTATTTATCATTTATAATTCAAATTATTTATCTTAAATATGTAGAATTTAATTTTCTTTATCATAATTTATGTAATTTATCTTCTAAATGTGAATAATTTAAAAAATAATTTATATACATTACTAATTATAAGATTAATTAATAAGATAATTTGTTTAACTTTAGTTATGGTAGATTTTATTATTATTTAATTAGCTTAAGCTCATAGATTTTATTATTATTTAATTAGGTTAAGTCAATTGTTGCTGTTTTAATTAAAAATCATATTTATACTTTAAATAAGATAAAAACTATATTTTTTCCTAAAATATAGAAGTGACAGTATTTTTTTTTCACACCTTAGTTTTCATATTGCGCCTCTTATTTGTAGGTTTTTTTTTTCAAAACTTTTAAAGGGAATAAAAAACAAAGAGCAACGACTAAAACCTTTTGGAAGAATTCCAAGGCAAGATTTAGTCTTCCAAGGTCAGTTTTTCTATTTGCTTTCAATTAGGTTTTAATCCTTTGATCCAAATTACCATAAATTAGGTTTTATTCCATGGAACACTACAAGAAAACTAACATTTTGCAACCAATTTTTTAGCAACTAACCAGAATTAGTTACAAAAAGGCTACATTTACCAACTAAATTGACATTAATCAAGCAAAGAGGATTAAAATTTTGGGGCCCACATGTCCAACATTTGGCATCTAAAGTTAATTTTTTGCGACTAGTTTGTTAGTCACAGAACCGGTTGCTTTAGTGACTAATAAATTTAGTTGCAATTTTTTTTCGGTGATTTTTCCCTCCAAAATTTGATAATTTGCATCTAAAATATGGCTTTTTGCATCTAAATTTTTGGTTACAAAAAACAATTTTTTACAACTACTAATTTAGTTGCTAAATTAGTTGCGAATAATTAGGGATTTATTAGTAACTATTATGATTAGTTGTAGAAAAATGAAATTACTAAAATATCCCATATTTGGACAGTAATTACAAGGGCCCTAAAGTATATACAGCAACTAAATTTGATTTAGTTGCTAATTTAACTTAAAAAATTCATATTCCCTCTAAAATTATTTGTTCCCGCTAGACCTT